AAAGAAGGCAGTTCGTTTATCGGTTACATACCTTTTATTGCATTCAGATGCCGATAAAAGTTATTTCCTTGCCACGTATCGGGACTTCTTGCAGGTTGAAGTTCTGGTTTAACGTCACGCATAGCTGCCGCCTCTTCGGCTATTTTTTCAGCTTCTCGTTCCTGAAACAAAGTCGAAATATGGATGTTTTAGTCTTCGAATAAAGTCTTTCTTAAAATTTGTGGAAGTATTGGTGTTAATACGTATTAATTTTATTATTTTTACATATCTTTTATATTTTTCCTGTCATGGATTTATAATTTCATGAACATATTAATCAAATAATAATATTAAATATTAAAATATCAAATTTTCTACATTGCAATATTATTGCCAAACCAACATTAATACAATATTTTTCTCTTAACTATCAAAGTTCTCGTACCCTTTTATCATTAGGATATCTGAAATTTTATGAAAACACAAAAATTGAATATTAGGAAACTATTTTTTACTGAACATTAACATTTCAGTCGTTCACGGGATAAAACGATTACCACCACTTTTTGGATTTTAAACAATTTTTGTGCCAAAGTACTTGATTCGTGCTTAACGATTCGTATTTGAAGATTTTTCCTTTCTGTTTTGAAGTAAATCTACTTGGCAAATGGGTCCCTTTAAAATAGTAAAAGAAGAAGATTATTGTATCGTATTGCATTGAAGATTAAAAATATTTCTCAGTATGTTTTTAGAAGGGATAATTACTCGATATACAAACCTACAACAAAGTACACACTTCACGTGTATCATTTATCTTTCCATCGTCGAAAGGGTTAACCACTACAGTCGTGTAATCGAGTCGAGATATCGACGATCGCTGTTAACGCTATAAACAGGTGTCCACGTGGCGCGACTTTTTCCCGGTTAATGACAAGTGACTGAATGGAATAAGGATGGCTAACATGGACGACCATCCAATCATCATGAACGACCACTCAGTTATGCAACGATGGCCACAATCCTGTCGATGTGTTGTGACCAACACATAACGTCGGTTTACTCGACGCTGCCGATTTATAATCTAAACGCAGCTACCTCTACAACCGGCACGCGGTACTTTATTTAATGTTTCCGCCGATAGCAATCGTCAAATTACTTAAATTAATTTAATCCCTCGGCTCGACGTCGATCGATCCGCGTGAATTATTCCTCTTTCCAGAAGTCTATGCCCCGTTCTTCCGCCATTTTAATGTTTTCTATAGAAATATCTCTTTCCGTTTTTAGGAGGGTAACAGGAACAGAAAGGGTAACAGGAAAAGTAACAAGTAGAGGTGTTCGAGTGAATTATTTTTCGTTGCTTCGAGTATAATAAGGAAATCGAGTCTCCTCTTTTTGAACGTTACAAAGAAAATCATTTGCTTCCTTTTGAGTGTGATAAAGAAACTAATTCTTAATATTTCTAATTATTAGATCAAATTAGGTCATACATTGTGAGAACAAATATATTCGTTATTTTTCAATTTGTCGTTTATGATAAGTCTGTTTTAATATAATAATTTTAACATGATTTAATGTAAAATATATAATATAAATATTTATCGTAAAATATAAAGTATAATTCCGTTTTATGAAACGACTAAAGACTAAAATTTCAATTCAACAGTTAATAAACGTTGAGTGGCTGAAATTACACATTTTCTTTCGATAAAGTTACCAGTTATCCTGCATTATAGTGGAGCGTTATTATTAATCTTTTATTTCGTAGAAGAGAAACGTGCCAACAAATGCGAAATATTAACTGATTAAAATTAATTGATTATACAGTTTCCTCGATATGCGAGTTCGTTCGTTTAAAGCTTTTAATATCAAATGTCATGAATTTTGTTGATTTCTCAATTTCTGCTGCAATTTTATGATCTTCGTTTAATGTCGTGTATCGTAAAGGTAAATCGATATTTCATTGTTTTTATGGTAGCTACAATGGGAATTCAAACATGCAGAAATATTATAAATATTAATTGCAATTAATATTGTCACTGATCGTTTTTATTTCGCGTGCATACTTCCACTGATAGATATTTATTCTTGAATTATTTTATTCTACCATTTGGTAGAACATAATACATCAGCATATTAATTTATTTGATATTTATTTAATATTAATGTATTTTGCATTTTGAAAGTATGACGTATTCGTGCTCTTTGTTAAAAATTCGTGTGTATCTAGATTCCGATAGTAATTTATTTCTTGGTACCTATTACTTCCTTCTGAGATTGCATCTAGTAGTGTCAGACAGTATTTTGTCAGACAAAGAACAAGACAAGAGAAGAGAGCTAGTTCTATGCTTCCATCATGATTGTGAGGCTTCTTTACATAATATTTTTACAAGTTCGTACCCACATAGATTTCACTAGCTTATAATTTTCATGATGAATTACCTTTTTCATTAAAAAATTCATCCTTTACTTTATATCCATTGCTTCCTTATCTAACGTATTCACTTTTGATCAAACCTTTTATTATCTAGGTTATATACTAACAAATAATTGTCATAAACATTTTATTTCTATATTTTCCAATATTATAATTAATATAATTGTAAATTTCGATAAATTTTTTGTCTATTTATGTAGGTAAAAGTCCAAAATTCGAGTTGATTTGCTATAATTGAAACACACATACCTGATAGAAATTGTAAATAAAATAGAAGAAGAGGGTAATAGGTATTGCAATATTGTTCTATATTTCAAAATTCAAATATTTAACATTTTACAAGTAATTGGCTTTCATATATACATTTTCTAACATAATTTGTATTTCAATTAATTTCCTCAAGTATTGTTGCACTTTAAGCGTGAGTTATTAATATCGTCACTTAACTAAAGTGGAATTAAGGAAAAAGTGACTCCTTTAATCGATTACCTTAGTTAACTAGAAAGTTACATAATTAATATCTGACATTGGCCACCAAGATTGATACTTTCAAATTACATAGCATGGTCACTCGCAACACTATATTATGTGTCATCGATTTTTGCGATAAGATTGAATGATTAAATCAATTCTCTGAAACAGCCGCGTGACGGGCATTATTTAAAAATCAGCGTATGTCCTGGCTTCCGTTCGTTTCGTGACGTAGAGTACACGAAAGGTAAGAATACTAGGTACTCGACACGCGAGGATGCATTTTTAAAATGTTCCAGCCTTTTATGTGCGCTATGCTAACACGAATTATTATTTCAGTTATTGTTTAAAAATATGAATTAATAAAATCGTGCATTAAGATTACATTACAATTTCTTTTAATTTCTGTTTGTCGTTTAAACAGTATGAAACTCTGAACGTATAAGTGCACTTTAAAGAATATAGCTTTAGGAAATTTAATGGATTTTTATGAGAAATTATATGAGGCAGATTCTACGTTTTCATTTCTCAGAGAAACCTCTTCTGTTTCATTAGTGTTAACGGTTATGTAGCTTATTTTTAGAGAAATATAATTTACTTAATGCTACTTAATGTTTAATGTTTTTGAAGAGATTGTTATTTTGTTCTTTTATGAAGAACTTTTATAGGAAAGTTACCTTGACTTCTTCATATTCTCTGCTCTTTGTAGTTTGAAAGGAAACCAAATGCTGATTAAATAACTATAATATTGCAATTTGGTATATATAAAAATAAATAAAAGGGAAGGACATGGCATTAAAATATAACGAGTATACAGATAATAATTATTTATTCGTTTGTGATAAAAAGTGTTTCATTTCGCTTTTATGATAAAATAAATAGGGATCGTATGTTATTACTGACATATATAATTTTTTGTTAGACAAACATAAATCTGGATAATCGACTGTTCATTGATTTTCGATGTCATTCGAATAATTATAATTAATACTGATAGTAAAACTCCAAAGAACAAACATCATATTAATCGAAGTAAATAGTGTCTTCTACGTGTAGAGAACATTTTCATTCAGCTCATTTTGTATTCCATGCATCGCAAAATGAAGTTGCTCATGACACGATTTGTATTAATTAAACGGTACAAATTGCTAGTCGAAATTACGCGCCAATTTGCGACGGAACACGTGACTTTCGTGGTCCGCGTGACGTCATCGTGAGAATCGTGGTGTAGTACACGGCGTGCGCAGTAGGCGTCGCTGTAATCGCAGAGATGCACGATTCAAGATACGGAACGAGCAAAACCGATTGCAACGCACGATGCCTCCATCAAGTCTATACATCAGGTCAGGTAATAAAATATTCAAGTCGGCCGTAAAACGATTACGTTGTCACGTAACACCGCGGTAGAAGCCATGCCGATTACATTTACTTTGTGACTCGTGAGAGATTGCTCACCGCTCTGTTAACGACCTTCGTATCGACAATGTGAGAAAACTCAATGGTATTAAACTTTGTAAGAAATTTACGTAGAAGAATTAGGAGAAGAAGCGACATTGTTTGGCGTCCTGTGTTTTTTGTCTTCTTTAGATCCTTCAGGTTTGTGTCAATTATATAATAATCGAAGGGTTAAAGCACATTTGAGGTTATGTATAGTTTTATATTATAAGTTAATATTTTATATTATCAGTTAATTTTATGTTGTAGGTTTTAAGACAGTCAACGATTTTATGTGTCATTCTCATGAGAAAATCTGGATGTGTTTATTTTTTAATTGCAGATAAATGGGTGTGTTATAATTTTACTTCTTATAATTACCACTTTATGATATTGTTAGTATAGGAGAATATTATAACAGACTAGATAGTATGTAAAGTTATTTAGTACATTCAGCGTAGGAAATTATTACAACTACTAGGTAGTACGTAAAGCTGTATAAGGAATAATACAATATTATAATGCAATAGAAGTAATTTTTAAAAGATTATATATAATAAAAAAGATTGATACACTGCGATATATAGAAAAGTGGATAGAAAATAATTTTTTTATATTTATTCTTTATCAAGAGAGTGAAAAATTGTTACATTAACCTAAAAATTATACGTATGAGGGTAATGATTTTCAAATTCTAAGATAGAACTGTCGATTTTATGATATGAATTCGTAATATTATATTACAACAGATTTTGTGATATGATCTTTATGGCGATGATTCATTCAACGTTAAAAGACGTCACCTAATTAAACTTTTTAATTCCATTTTGACATTCATTGGTC